ACATTTGAATTTATTGTCTAATATGTAATCCAGTTTAGAGACATTTTGTGTTTTCATTGGATCCTTTATTTCCACTAAAATCTGGAAATGAAAGAAATGCATTTGCAAAGGACATACCGTTATAGAACAAATATTTATAGTGAACAATGGATTAATCACCATCTGCTGTAATCTGGTTTGCTGTCAATCACTGCCCGAGTGATTCCAATGATCATCAATAAATTAACCAATAGCAAGCAGATCCAAACTGTCATTAATCCTAAATGCTGTGGGATTCAAAGGTTTGTCTGTCCATTCTCTCTGCTAAATTACTTCTAATGGGTAAACAATGCAGACCAATTAAGAGAGGTTGTCAGCTTATACAACATCAAATGCAAATAAAGTGAATTATCGATTAGTGCCTAACAACCGGGTGCTGTTACCGGGTATTTTGGGGTTTTAATTCTGAACTGGCACCCAACGTGAGTCCTGTACATTTAAGCATAGAAAGAGGGAGTCTGTTTCCATGGCAACCAGAAGCACGGGCTTTTGTTCTGGAAGGACGCGCTCCTGTTCTGAATGCGTAGAGGATGGCTGGGCCGCGTGCCACTCAGAACGCACTGTGGCACACGGACACACACACGCACACACACACACAGCCTCTCAGCGCATCTGGAATGCAGGAAAATGCCCGGCGCAAGAACAAAACTTGAGAGATCTCAGCGTGGCGGTTTGAGCATTTCGAACCGAGTCGTTTCTTAAGTCCTAAGAGACTCATCATTAAAATATTGTGCGCAGATTGTATTTTATTAGAATCTTCAAAAAGATGCATTACTGCTCTAAGTAAGTAATAGAAACACAGTAGAATGACTCATGTTGGAATATTTAATTGTTATTTTAGCCGGTTGTTTGGGAATCGGGATTTTGAAATGTAGAGTTATGCAATGACCTCTGTTTACCATTTAATTATTTATCTTTTGTCTGAGGAGAGGAGTGGGTATCAGTCACTGCATACCGAATCTACAAGGTTATTGCCCCTGTCTCTCTATCTGCGGAAAGGCTGAATTCTCCCTGTTCTGTAACAGTTTCCTCCTGTATTTAGGTGAATTGGTAAATTGCCCATAGTGTGTTAGTGAGTTTTCCTCTCCTGCATGATAACTGGCTGTCTCTCCTAGGCCACGCCCCCTTTCACTCTAGGCTGTCTGGAATTGGCTCCAGATATGTGCATCCTTAAGCAGTTTAGCGAAATGAAAGCTTAGGAACAGTATCATTATCCCAAATAGCTACAGCTGACGCTCAGATAAACACAAGTCTGACACAGGCAGAGAGAAAGGGCCTGTATCACAGTGAGATTTATCAGTTAGCTAGATAACTTGTCAGATGTAAGGTAGCCCCCAAAAATTTTCACCCATGGTCTGGGCTAAACTTAAGTCCCAGCTAAACGACAAATCTTACTTAGTGATTCATGCCCTGTGAAGATGTCAGGTGGCACTGTTTCTCGCGTACATTGAGAATTCGGAGCGCCTGCTCATGTCCTTGGTGAGCGTCGGATGCGCGTCCGTTTCACAAGATCACATTGCATGTTGTGCCTGTATGCTGCATATCCATTAATTCCTCATAGTAAAATAACGGACAGTGGTGTTTCAAAATCTCCACCTTAAACAAGCCAAACTGCATCAGAGCTAGATAAGATTTTAACAACTCTGAGCTATTAGCTAAGTTCTCCCCAAACGAGCTTGATGGGCCGAATGGCCTCCTCTCGTTTGTAAATTTCTTATGTTCTTATGTTCTTATGCAAACCTATAACGGTGAGAACATCACTGCTGAATGCAGCCTCTCTAACACAGCATGAACTTAAAATTAAATTTAGCTACAGGTGAGCAGAATGGTTTGTCCCTGACCTTAGCCCCCTCCCATGAAAAATCTACACCCTCCCCATGCCACAAATGGGTCCCCTAGAACTAACAGCGGTTTTCAAACACCTTATGATGTAAATATACCAAATATAGAAAACGACATCATTAAAATCCTCTCGGCTGAATGCTGGCGTGTTGACCAGATGGCAGAGCACCGTTGCTGCTTTTCCCAAACTTTTTACTGTGCCAAACCAAATCCGCCGCCGATGTGATTATTATCCCCCCCAACCCCACCCCACCCCCCATCTCCATGGGAAGGAGCGGAAATATATGATTCTCCAGTAGCTCCTGTTTTGGCAGGGAGGGAAGCTGGCAGGGGGAGGCCGCCATGAAATCTCTTTCAGGGAGGAGCTCCCTCTGCACGAGGCAGGGGTGCCTGGAAGATCGGCGTGATCAGTTTTGCCTTTTCCGAAAACCGGACTCCCAGACCATGCTGTCTTTTGGTTAATTATGAGGCCTGATTGGTCTGGACGTTTGGGTGGGTGGCACACGGCCTCCAGGTTTGTGACTTATTCCTCTTACAGATGCCAGCGGATCGGTTTCCCAGTGAGCTCGGCCTCAAATAGACAGTGGCACAGTTACAGTGATGTGACTGATGGCTCCGTAGAATCAGTGCAGTGCACATTGCCAGTGCAATACATTTGCAGAGTGACTGAACCTGTTAGATGCGATGCCATGTTGGTTTCTGCACAGCACATGGTGCCCAGGCTTCTCCGGTTCACCGTTACAGCTCCTATTAAACACTTTTCTTATCGATTGTGGCACCTTTTGCTGTTGACCTCAGTGAAGCTCATCTCCTAAAAAGTAAATAATTTCATGCAGTATTGGAGAGTGGCCAGCAGGTGACTCAGTGGTTAAGATGTTTTGAATTTCTTGTCTGAATCCTTGGATGCTGAAGCTCAGTATTGAATATGATGGTATGGTAAGCATTTACCTTCACATCAGCCCGTAGGATTATGAGGCTTTGGTAGCAGGCTGCTCTTAGATGAAACATCACTGTCCTACGCTTGAAGAAGAGTTACTGGGATCAGTGCTTCACATGACTGAAATTGTCTCACTTAAATGACTTCCCTCTGTTGGTCAATATGTACTAATGGAATTCACATGCGTAAAAGGTTTATACCTGTGTGTTACACCTTGTGGCCAGTAGTCACGCTACTGTATGATAATCTGTCAACAAAATGATGGTTTATATGAAACACTGGCTTACTGGTAGAACATCCTTGACTGGTACATGGATTGTGAACAGACTGACATTACAGTCAGCAGGGCGGCCCCTGCCTGTTGCCCTGGGCTACCTGGGATGGGTTCCAGGCTCCCTGTGACCTCGTCCCTGATAAGCGCTTCTGGGAAAATGGACGGATGGCCGGAAAGATCCTGAACCCCTGGCTTTTCCTGACTCGTTTCTCTCTCGCTGTCTGTTCTGTTCGGCCCAGCCATCTGGCTTGCTTGCCCCATGCGTCCATTCCCAGACGCCTGGCCCCACTGCATCGTGGGTCGGCGGGACAGGCCTCCAAATGCCCCTCAGACGGCCCATCTGTATTCCGCCGGAGCCGGAACTCTTGACATCGCCGGTCCGGAGTTGGGGAGAGTAGCCGTGCGTCCAAACAGCAGGACGGAGAATGTCCTTCAGCTATTTATAGGATGTTAATGCCGCATAATGCAGCAAAGCTCATCGTAGCTGGTGTGTGCCTGGAAATAAACTTGCAGTGATGAGATCGCCCTCAGCTCTTCCTTAGCCACGATAATGTTGACTGTGATTCCGCCTGACCCCTCTCCTTAGACTCATTAAGCGACGCTCCTGTAGACTAACGGGAGCATGATGCACTTTCCTGCCTTTATACGATTACCCAGAAGCCTCTGAGGTTCCCATCTGAAGGTGGAGAGCTGTGTCCAGGGCTGGATTAATTTATTCAGCAGCCCTAGACTGACATCAGCACGTACGCTCTGGTGTTACCGATTCAGCTAACCGCTCCATTTTTCCCAAAACAGGGCGGGTCTCTAATGTTTGCTGGGGCATAAGATCGTCTGTGTATTAATCCACCCCTACCTGAGTCTTCATTAAGTCTCCTCTGGACAGAATCCTTACAATCTCATTTTCTACTTGAAGTTTTATTTCCATAAACCGTCAGATTAGCAGATACTTTCTTGGCAATATCTATCCATTTGTCCATACATCTGACTTATACATAACAGCTCATCCCCTACAGGGGGCGCTGTGAGCTTGAAGCAGTTTCCTGGAAACAGACCGCAAGCCTGGGACAGAATGCCAGTCTACTGCAGGGCTCTCAGATGCACACTATGAGCAATTGTGGGACACCAGTTCACATAAATGCATGTTTGGATAGTAGGGTGAAACAGGAGGACGCCCAGAAAAGCATGGAAAGAACATGGAAGCTCTAGTCACAGGGCGTTGAGCGTTGGAATCGAATCCATCTCCGAGGCTACAGTGCTACCTGCTGAACCTTAACACTGAAGGTGTAGATTTGGTATGGATATGAATATGGACATGTCCCAGCCAATATTGTGGGAATAGCGTGTGTGTTTAGGAGGGTGCGGGATCGGGGGCTGGTTTGGTCCCTACCACTGTTGAAACCAAACCTATTCCCTTGGCTCAAGCTACTCTTGACAATTAGCTATTTAAACGGGTTTACTTTTTATAAAAGGTCAGTCACTGTGTTGCCCTGAACTATCCAATGGCTTGATGAAAAGTGAGCATAAGAGCGGCAATCCTGCACGATCCTAGACGGAAGGTGTAGCGGAAACGGCTCTGGAAGTGAGGCGCGCGGAAAACGAAAAGCGCCATCTCAACACAGCCTTGTAAACGTCTGCCAGCTGCCATGTTTAATACCTTCTCAGAAACATGTTAAAAAAGCAGCTTGAAAAGCTTATAAAGCCTGTTTATAAGTATCTTTCATGGTAGCTAAACTAGCCAAGTTAAGCAACGCATATGTTTCAGGTCGCTCTGCAGGTCTCTCTCTCACTGTTGCTGTTCTTTGAACATATGTATAAATTCCTGTAAACAAACAAACTTGCCAAAAAACCTGGCTGGACTTGCTGTTCACTGCTGTTCACACTCTCTTTCTTCTTGTCTTTTCAAACCAGGATTAAGACACCGATGCGGAAGAACTGAGCGGAGACCCAAACCATGGCTGGAAAGAAGGTATCTGCTGGAGCTGGTATGAATGTCATCGCTAATTCCCTGCTCCTTGTCTTACTCCATCAGCTGCTGGGTGGAGCAGTAGGTGGAGTAAACGGCGCGTTGGCTTTTATGTTCCATGCTGAACCCATGTCCTGATTAGTCATTGATTTGAGTGGATGAAGAGGAGGTAATGAACAGTGGTTAGAAGGTCTGATTGAATGCAGAAAACGAATCTGGTTAATGTCCCGCCTTGTGTGAGAGACAATTCCTTGCATTGGGTGCTGTTATTTTCTTGTTGTTCCATATAATATCCAGGTTTATTCAATGGAATGTTTAAAGCGTAATTCTTGCTAAGCTAATCATTGTAATTCTATTGCCTGTGTAGCTAGCCGTGATATTTCACGAGCGATTACGTAGCTTGCCAGCATACTGTCGCTAGAAAGACTGATGGCTGGATCCCAAGAGAGACACATTGTGCTTCTGTGTGGCCTTTGTTAGGCTTCCCAGACTCCATTCAAATCTCAGTTAAGAGGGAAAAACAAAGTGAGAGTTTTGAGTCGCCCCAAGACTCAAGCGATGTCAAGTGTGTCGTGAGGACGGATGCTCGTTCTGAAAGACGTCACTCTCCCGGAGTGTCCCAGACCCCCGCTGCCCCTTATAAAATATAAATCCCAGTTCTCAGGAACAGAAGTTCTCGTGTTCATCATCATAAGCCACGCAAATGTAATGTGCTCACTCCAGGTTTTTGGGCACCTCGCAATCATGCTTTGCTGTCTGTGACTGAATTTTAATGGTTATCTGTCCAAGAGAACAATCCTCACCCGAAATGCGAGATAAATAATTCACGGTTAATGAAATGTTTAAAAAGCAGATGGAAATCTCTTCGGACTGTATTCGATTAGAATGTTAATGACATTACTTTTAATGACTTCGCAACAGGGAACGGACGCCGAACTCTCCACAGTTGGCGCGTGTTTGCAGGAAGTTGCAACATTTATCGTCTGTGAAAAATAGCTTCTTTGCATGATAGTATTGAATAGTTGGTTGGATATATTGCTGTATTTGCAGTGTCACGTTCGCTTAGGAAAAAACTGGGATCACTTGTTAATTGTTCAGATCGTAGTCCATCCAGAAAGTTCATTAACATTCATCTGATGAGCTGTTGTGTTTGCATAAAATCTGTGTGTTAATACCTCCTCTCTGTGAAAGGGTCTGGTTGAATTTGACATGCTGATTTGTGTATTTGTATGGGCATATTATATGTATAAGAATTGTTCCCCCATATTTACCCAAACAAGTCAGCCCCATAATAGGCTCCCTCTATGGGTGTAGACTAGCACACGCCCTTCTCCAGCCGCTTTGCAGTCCGCAGGTTGCCTTAGTGACGTAATGTACTCGGAGGAGTTCTATTTGCTTCACTACACACACGGCCCTGTAGGGGACCCAGGGAGTAGCGCACGCCGCTGTGAGCCAATGAGAGTTTGAGGAACCCATCCCAGTGACCAATCCTGTTCTTCTTGGCCTCTTTGCCACAGATGGCTAATGCGGCACAGTGGGGATGGGACGGCCACAAGCCGCGGGCTCCATCAAGCAGAGTAACAAGCTCTGAGGAGACTGCTGTTCACTCACATCCTCCCACGGCTTTGCAGAGCACATCGTACTTATCCCAGGGCCTCACTGGGGAATCCTTCAAAGTGGCTTCCGTTTAGAATGTTCTAACTTTGCCAATCAAATGTACCCAAACCCAGCCGGTCATCAGTCATCCGCTAGTAATGAATGCCAAAGGCATTACCCTATTGACTGATAATGGGAGGAACAAGGCTTTGTAACCAATAGTGAGTAGGATTTCATTTGCACTGTTCACTGGCCAGCTGGTTTAATCCAATAGGAGCTTATGACAGATCTGTTGAGAAGGGGGTAGCAATGGACCTGGGGGAAGGAGTGGTTGTATATTAGTCCAAACGATGCAGTGAAGACCCCGTTTGAAGTGTCGCATGTTTCCAGCTTCTCAGACAGAAGTTCTGGTTCTAGGCCCCCTGGGAATGTCATGGTGGTGGGGGGGGGGGGGGGGGGGGGGGGGGGGGGGGGGGGGGGTTGCCCAGCGGTCTGCTGTAAGGTGCCTGTACAATGATTGCCAGTTCCTGTATAATTTCCTGTCTGTGGTACTGTGCNGGGGGGGGGGGGGGGGGGTTGCCCAGCGGTCTGCTGTAAGGTGCCTGTACAATGATTGCCAGTTCCTGTATAATTTCCTGTCTGTGGTACTGTGCATTCACAGCGGGAGGTCAGCCAAGACCCCGTCATCTGCTTCCTCGAGCTTGGACTTATTTCTATAGTCACATTCGTCACTCACTGCAGGTTATGAAAGAGGATCTTTATGGGAGCGAATTCAGTGCAACTTTCTGCCTGGGCAAGGTACTGGTGCTGCCTGAATCCGGATTAACTTCAAGGAACTAGGCGAAATAGGGTGAGTGGCCTATCGTGCAGGAAGCACCCGCAGACCTGAGCCAATGTGATAACACCACGTCCGGCTTGGATGCCAGCAGTAACCGCCGAATAAGGCCATTTATCTAATGGGCTAAACCTTGGTAGGTTTGTATTGGATCCCAGTATTGGATCTTGAGAAAAGTATTCCGGTTGAAATACTTCTGGAATTAACTGGCTGTTAAACCCAAACAGGCCGCATTGGTTTCAGAATGTGGTTTCAACGAAACAACTGAGATGGGTGTTTGAGTATCGTAATGCTGCACGAGGACCGACTCCTGAAATTTAGTGGGAAGTGGAAAATTTTGCAGTTGATGCTTCAGTATACCCATCCATCAATCCATCCATTGGTTCACCCATTAGTGAGCAGCTAAGGAGAAAGGTAGTCTACAAATAGGGTCAGTTTAGGGTATAAAAGCAAACAAAACAATGTCCTTCTCCTGTTTTATGCCTCTGAAAGGTTTGGCAGAGAAGTCCAGGTTGCTAAGCGATCCTGTCGTGTTATGGAATCCTTCGCCTCTTTTTTCCTCCTCGTCCACATTCCCGCTCCTGAACGTCCCAGCTGGGCCGCATCCCTGCTGCTCATGTCAGTGAGACGAATGGCAGTTATGGCAGGACTGTGTGAGGGATGTTGCAGGCTGCATATCACATCACATATCACATCACATCACCCCCAGGTGGGCCGCGCACCGAGCTGAGCCGCCGTGCCCCGCTACACATCACCCCCAGGTGGGCCGCGCACCGAGCTGAGCCGCCGTGCCCCGCTACGTCGGCACCCTCTGTTCGACGTTAAAACCAGAGAAGGAGTTGGAGGTTTTGACAGATTTTAGAAAAAGGAAAAGTATTTCACATCACCCCGGTCCAGTCACATGACACGAGCAGGTCATGTGAGGTGTTGAAACAGGCAGCACCCTGCAGCTCAAGCACTTTAGACCAGCTAGGTAGCTTGAAATGGCTTGAGCAACCTAGGAGAGACCCTCATAAGATGTTAGCTTGTTTAAAGACGGTAAAGATGAGAGAGCAAGAGAAGGTTACCCGGGATGGAACGTGACACGTGGTGGATGACGAGCTGACGGACGACTGGAGGAGAAGGTTTCTGCATGGGAATGCAGCAGTAATCTGGGTGATGGTTTGTTAAAGCCAGCTGATGACAAAAACGATCCAGAGGTTGAAGAAATCATCAGCAGATATGAAAGACAGAGATAGAGAAAGGAGGCACAGGGCAGAAGGATGAAAAGAGGAGGAAAACCTGACTCATATCATTGTGGATCTCTGGGTGTTTGTGGGCTTCACAAATAAGTAAAGATAACTAGCTATCTTGTGTTTTTTTTAAAGATGGTTTGTGGTCCATCAGTGTTTGTGGAAGACATGGTAGGCCATCTGCATTAGCTTCCGTACCAGACTCCCCCTTCCAGTCTCAGTCCAGAAGAGAGGGATGAGATGATCTGTACGGCGTCGGAATGTCACCCCGTAGGCTCTGCGCTTGGCATTGTGGGTAGCATCGTTCACTCACACCGCAAATCAAGATGGGAGATTTTGTGATGTCGTGCTGGGTGTCATCTAACAAGGGCGCACGTTTAAGAGCAGGGTGGGCACTTTGAACGCTGACAGATACTCTGTGGTCCCTTTATGGTCTCAGATTTTTGATGATTTGGCACAGAATCAACAACTTCTAATGTGTCCTTGACTGCTCATAACTTGGTGCTAATATGTATATTAATTGGCTAACAGGAGTATTAAAAAGAATGTTTCATGGGGGAAAATGACACATTGTTACTGCAAACTAATAATCCTTTCAAAAGTTTTTAAATAAAAATATAAATTGTGCTTGGTACTAAAGGCGATAATGAACATGCCAAACTGTAGGGTCACTTATAAATTAGGTTCAGTGACATGGTCCATTTCGAGTCATTTGAATTGATAAAAGAATTCTATACATAGACAGAGATTAATAAATTCACTTGATGTGCACTACACGCAAAGATAAAAGATAGGGAAAATAAAATTTTAGAGTTTAATTGGAATGAGTGTGTGCCGTAGCCTAGCCTACGTAAGGCCTGTAGGAAACATGCTTTGAAGCACCATTAATTGTCAGGAAATGTATGTTAATTAAATTCAAACTGTGTGGCTGCAGTGATTTCGTTCAGTTAATCAAAAGCACCCTAATAGAAATCGAGTGAATAGTGACGGTGCTGGGACTTCAAAACAGCGAGAGATTAATTGTAATTAACACACACACACACACACACACACATATATATATATGTGTGTGTGTCTGTGTGGGTGATATTTATATTACATTGTGGGGACCATTTTTCAGATTCTTACAAAGATCTGTGAATGCAATCAAAAAACTTATGATCCCAAAAATCTGGTATTTTGTTTGATTACTTAAGGTTATGGCTGGGTAGGGGTTAAGATTGTCATGTTGGGATTACAGTTTTCCCCATAGAAATGAATGGAGAGTTCCCACAAAGATATAATTACAAACCTGTGTGTGTGACAAACAGGAAACATAGAGAAAGCCAAAATGCAAAACA